CATTCTCCCTTCTCGCCTCCTCGTCTACAAAGCTACTCTACGTCTGATGTTATGAACGGCCGCTGACATGATATTGGCCGCTGATGCCTCCTGCCCGTGCAGTGTTGTCCAGCAGTAGGTGTCCTCCTTCCGCGCTGAACGACGAAGGAGGCCGAAGTCAGTGCAAAGCCCTTCAATCACACCGCATTAAACATGATGACGGAAATCGGAACCCACCTGGCAACCTGGCACCCAGCAAATTAACCAACCGCTCGATCCATTCGATCCATTGGCACATTCGACCGCACAAATGGACCTTCAACGGCTTGCAAATGGAATTGCTGCTGCACATCTCCCACATCCGCACTGGTCTGCTCTGACGCACAGCCCGTGAAGGCAATGACCTCTGCCTCGGCTCGCCAGATCATCCGTCGCTGGGTGCTCGGAACGCGCACGAGTGTGTAGAGACTGGCTTGGGCCTGTCATGAAAATATGCCACACCCAAAGGCAGTTCTGAAAAAGCCTCTTAGCTTCAATACACCTTGCTTGGAACACTTTCCACTCCTCACCAACCCCCAGCACCAGACAGTACACTGTAGACTTTGCAGCCCACCATGATTTAGAATTGACTGCCAATCCTCGGCACCAGAGAACCGCTCTTGGGGTCCAAGGTCTCATGCTCCTTCCCCTCATCTCAGCACCATCAACCCCCAAAAACACTCACAAATCCAACCCTAGGCTGGCATGAAAAGAGGGAGGACGATATGTATTGCACCTTCTACCTGGTGAAAGCATGCTAAGAGTCTGCTCTTGAACCCTACTGATCCAGCTGAGCATCCACCGCAGCGCCTTGATTCTCAGCCTCATCAGTGCGGAAGCCGCCCTCGCCCGCTTGCTGGTTCTCCCGGAAGCGACTGTAGAGGCCCCAAAGGTCCATACCTCGTGGTGCCCAAAGGTTAAAGAAAATCTTCATCTGTGATCCATGTGCACAGTAAACTGTAATAGGTTGATACTGTCTGATCATACTAAAACCCTGACAAATGGATGGAAGATACATGTTTGTGAACAGCTATCTTAAGCTCGTCCTCGTGGCCGTAGGCTGAGCGAGAACATTACCTTTCATGCATAAGACTCCCCCATCCGATTGAAGAAGGACCTTTTCAAAACGCCTATGGCCTATGACTCTATGACTGATTTGGAGTTAGAGATGCCATGCAAGCAAGCCAGGCAAAATATCAGGAAACCACCCTTGGGTTTTGTAGCTTCTGTCTCTAGCGCCAAAACGGTTGAGCTCTACGAGCTTTCGACAGGAGCAGCACCAGGTCACACAAGAGCAGCGACTTTGGTTGGACCCAATTTCAGCATATTTCTCACAGGAGCAGCGACGGTTGCAGGCACAGGTCTTGGTGTTGAAGCTTTCCACGGCGTTGGCAGCAACTCCACAAAGAACTGTGACATTCAATATAATAGTCAATAGTCAGTCTATTTATATATACATATACATAGCATATAGGTTATATAGATATGCACTGATAGTCGATAGTATTATAGGAGGATATTCTACAGGCGATGGTAGTCATACCCTGGACTCACCATATCGGAACATGTCCTTGGAGCATTCTACCAAGGGGATGAGTCTATATATAATCCATGTTAGTGAGTGGAAGTGTATAATGTGATGCCCAATGGGAAAGCTGGTCTTTGAGGGCTCGGATGGGAGGATGGTTTGAATATTGGGGGGGGGTGAGGAAAACCTGCAAATTGCACACTTAGGGTTACTTATACCTTTTCAACCCCGTCAACTAAGGACTAGCGTAACTAGCCAATCCAAAGTCTATTTCCCTCTAAACTCCTTTCAGCCCATTTCAGCCCAAGCCTTTCAGCCCGGGCCTGCCATCGAATTGCCAACGTCCAGGTGGCTCGACCGAGCGGCCCATGGAAGTCACGTCGGACAGGAGCATCGTCGGGTCATCACTGTCCTGCAACCAGCGGCAGGACGAACTAGCATCGCTGCTGGCTGTCTGTACTGCATCCCAGGTTTATGGACTGCCTTCTGTCCCATGGCGGGTCACCCAAAACAATCGTTAGTGTCCCTTTTAGACCTTCAGGAACTTGACGCAGGCGTGCCTCATCCTTTGCACATGCAAATGCGCATGCATATAAATATATATATATATATTTCTATATTCACATGGCACAGCTTGAAAAAGTGCAACTGCACTGCTGCAGTGCCACCATCCAGGACAGAATGGCAAGCGAGATGCTTTCCTCGGAATTCCTGCGGCCTCGCCTGCCAGGATCGCCAATCGTCCAACCAATTCCTGGCCATGACCATCTGTGCTGCTTCCCCCGCCAGTGCGGATGCCAAATTCTCCTGGTCACAGTGGTCAAATGGCACGCCACGCCCCGGAATCCCAGGCCCCAACTCCATGCGAATCGCCGTACGCCAGGAGCTCCTAGTAGCTTCTTGCTCCTAGTGGGTGCTCATTCTTTCACTGCCAATCGATCATGTTTGGGGCACTCTGGGCCTGACCACCCAGACGCCTGAGTGCCGACGAAGATAAACGGCAAGTCTAGGACGCCCCCACTGTGGCAGCTATCCAAGATACCTGCGTCGGCCAAGGACACCGGTATTCATAGTAGCCATAAATTGATTGGCAGGACACTGCTGATCGGTACACTTGTTCATTTTGGACTTGTCCAACAAGAAAGGTGGTATGTCGTTGCAAAATCAAGTCCAAGAGCGCGCCATTCTTTATTTTCACTTTCGGCCCACCGAAAAAAGTAGCTCTATGTAGTTCGATGCCCTTGGTCAAGAATACTGTACGCTCAACTTCTTGGGGCGCAAGTGAGCCGGCAGCCAGCAGGCAAGGGCCGCACCAAGGTCTCGAAAAGCCTCAAACCACACTTTTCAGGCAGAGTGGTCATGCTGAGTCGTTCGAGTCGCATATGCATCGGTTGATGACACGGACCCTTAAATGGTTCGTAGGGGTCAGAGGGAGCACCATAGACTCATAGACGCCAAGAGGCTCAGTGTCCAGAAGCATTCCTTCAGTGTCCATGTCGACCTGCACACGCCATGTCCAACTTCCCACGAGCCAATCGGATGTTCCTGGAAACCGTTTGTTAGTGCTGAGTCAAGTCGTGCCCGGGCAAACACCTACCATCAACAAGAAATGTTGAAATGATCAGCAACAAATAGCCTTATCGACCATAGTCTGTAGCCTTATCTGATGGAGCTTACCACTTTTGCCAAGCTGCTGGGCAAAGCGTTTCATGCCACTCGCTGCCGCTTCCTTGTGGAATTCAAGTCACAACACTCCAGGCTTCAGTGGATCCATTCTTCCACCAGTCCGGGCCATAGAGGTCACTCAACATGAACCGTCCCTTCCTTCTGTCGAGTCATGCTGCGGGGCGTGCCTTTCCCTTACACGACATCCACATGAAAGATAAACCACCTGTAGGTTGCAGGCTGTGCCTGGCACATGGTAGGCTGTACGAAATGATGTGTGGCAGGATGTCAAGTTGCCATTTCGGTCACACGTGGCGCTTAACTCCTGGCACTCGATCTATATATATATATATCCCCAGCCAGCCCTAACATCAGACTCATCAGACCATACAATATCATAAAGCTAATTCCAAAAATCGCTTTATATTATTGCAGCATCGGCTGCCATTTCCTCAGTGAAAGAAGTGGCTTCCAAGTTCCAGTGCATGTGCACGCGTGGTGTGCGGCTGAGAACCCTCCTCCCAGTCCCACCTTCGCGTGGCATCCGGCCGCCGTGGCCCGAGTAGTGCAGCAACAGGCAGTCGCCCGGCTCCGCGTCCGCCGTGAGCCAAGCAATGCCCTCCCTGAGCCAAGCAATGTGCTACACCCGTCCGTCTCTGTCGTGGGGCTGGAAAAAGAACTGTCAGCGCTGTCAGCACTTTCGGTTGGTGCACTACTTGCTGTGGAAATACCGAAGCTGAATGAATGAAGGGATAGAAAGTCCAACGCTCAAAGTCGAGAAACTGGTGTTGGAGCTCGATTCATGTATCTTAGATTTACATATAGATACACACATGCTTCCACTGAACTATATAATGCTGACTGTTGATGAAAACGTGCCCATGGAGATGGAGATGTTTGACCATCCAGCTAGTGGAGTCTATCAGTCTATCCATCAACAGCCGGCTCGTAACAAGAAGCTACTAGTAACTAGAAGCTACTATAAAGGTTGGAGGCCATCGCTAGTAGGTTGGAGGCCATCGCTGCTAGTAACAAGAAGCCACAGTACCTACCTTGAACTCTGCTCCCTCGCCTCATGTTCTTCAAGGTCGGTCTCAAGTGCCCTGGCCACTGCGGTGTATCCACCAGCACGCGTCGTTGAGCTTGGTCTTGGGGAAAGCCCATCAGATCCAGCAGCGAACACATCCGCTGCACATCCGCCACGCATCCATGCAGTTCATTGGAGCTTCCAAAGTAGTTGATGCCCACCAGCAAGCTCCTGTTCGGCGAGCCCCCAAAGTCTCCCCCTCCCCTGGCGCAGGGTGTTGGATGCAGCCCCAAAAGCCTTAAAAAAACAGGGACTCCAAAAGCCACTTGCTAATTGCTCCGTATTGCACCTCCCACTTACACCGCGCTCTTCCCTCCTCTTTCGCCCCGTCAGCGGCACTCGCGGCGAGCCCACGCTGGCCGCGCTCAGGCTGGCCACAGGCGCCCGCTGTGGGCGTTGGGGCGCCGAGACCCGGGGGGACTTGTCCCCACAGCAGATGGGACCTAAGCACCGAAGCAGGTCCATGGCGGTGTGTGGACGGGCGTGTGGCTGTTGGATGCTGGAGGCTGGCGAGGGCTGGCTTAAGCTAGCATAGCGAAATGATGTTCCTCAAGCTCCTTTTTGGAAGGGTGGAGTCATCACGTTCAGAGAACTACATGCCGTATTAGACATTTGCATACTACTGTATGAGTGGCATTGCTCTGCCGCTGTTTCTGCGCTTCTTTGCCAATGTCAATGTCAAGTCTTCGAATTCTTCAGGAATCAGCACATGCGCAGCAGCGTGGTGTGCTCAGTTGTAAGCTTCAAGAACTGGGCCAAAAGGGCTTCGCGAAGCTTGCTGTCGACATGCATTCGCATCGCCTAGGGCCCAACACCAAAAGTCGGCTGGTTTCCCGGTGGTTGTGCTCACCAGGCCCTATCGGGCACACAGACTCATAGACTCAAAGAACTCAAGTACCAAATCAAATGCATTTGCCGAACATTAATTGATGGCCTCTGAACTGGATTGAAACCGTCCAAAAGTCCAAAAGCGAAAGAGATCGAAAGAATGTCACTCCATCCGCCACACCCATCGCATGTACATGTTCCAGGGAGCTAAAGTCAGTAAAGAAATTCATGTGCTCATGAATCGTAAGCTCCTCGCACGCGGTCACAAGCCCACATTTCAAACCAGCTGCCAAGCGGCCAATATCCCATAATATCATGAAATATCTCTGCCACGCTGCGCCCCACCAAACCCAAGAACCACGCAGCGGGAAGAGCGCCATCGCGGTATTCAGCAGCTCTTGCCGTTGCTGCAGGTCAAACCTCAACGGCCGTTCCCGCAGGAGCCCGGGGGCCGCGCGAGCCCCCGGCGGCGTGGCCGTTGACACTAGGCACCTGGCTGAAGCGGACCGCGAGGATCCACCCAGCTGGTTTCCTGGTTCGGAGCAGCGAAGCGAAGCGTTGAAACGACATGACAAAGCCTGCTCACGCAGCCATCGCCTTGCGAAAGGAGAAAAAACATCTCAAACTGTTGAGAGGGAAAAGAGCTTCGCACTAGAATCTAGAAAGGAAAACACACGCTAGGAAAAAGAAAACACCACATGAAGAAGTGCACTGAGTTCCTGACCCTAGTGCTGCAGTTGTAGAAGTAGACGTCCCGCACATCCACCGGCCTCGGCACCGATCCGTCGCGACCGTTTCCGAATCTCCGCGTCGCTCAGAGGACGTGACGCTACTTCTGGTTTGAGTTCAAGCACTGAACTAACTACTCATGGAAGTGGAGAATCAGAATCACCTGCTTTGGAGAATCACGGTGCAATGGGCAATTCTTCTCTTCCGTGATGAACACAAGGAGTAACCACCGGCCAAACGCCATAACCACCGGCCAAAGCGGTGGTCCAAGCTGCAGAGGTCGGTCTGGTCGACTGCCTGGCCACTGGTGGAAGACTCGGTAAACAAGAAACTGGTTGTTCTCACGAGGAAACTGTATGGGTTCTCAAGGGTGAAGCGGTATATAAATGTAACTGGCTGTTCTCATCTCTTCTTGGCCCACGCAGAGAAGAAAAAGGAGTCGACTCATGATCCGACGAAGCCGATGCGCTAGCCGTTAAGCTGTGCGGTTCTCATAGGCTCTGCTTTTCACCATTCCCTTGATTTCATGAGCGTGGTTCTTCAAGGGCCCGAAGCCACTCGCGGATGCCCAAAGCCTCCTTCCATGCAATGAGGCCCACTCCATTGACTTAGCACCTGGACAGCCGAGCCACGCAAAGCACGTTGCCCCATAAAAGAGGGTGAAAGAAGAGCTCCGTCCTGAGCTGCCAAAGCTTTGTCCTGGGTGTCTTGAAGCCATCGGTTCCTTCAAATCCCCTTCAATCCCTTTTGCTCGATCCCCTGAGCGCTCTCATCGATTCCTCGCACCTTGAGCGCAGCCACATGGGCCGTGCGCAGGTGGCGCTCGGAGCGCCTTCTTCGGCGCAGGTGGCATTCAAAAAAACCCAGCGCCAAGGTGGAGCGACCGCCAGAGATAGAAACTAGATGAAACTAGACTGCACATGTTGAAGAAGATCCGTCGATCATATTCGATCCATTTTGTGAGGCTATTGGCCTCTGATGAATTGCAGCGTAAACCTTATATAACCGTTAGGTCCTAACGGAGACGGAGACACTGTGTCATAGCCAAACCGGGTCATTTTTGTGAGCTCTGGATTTGGGATGGTCAATCTGTGCGCTCGCTCCCTGCCGCGGCAATAAGGACGAAATGAACAAGCCACAGTCCAGTGTACTAGTGGGTATTTAGCTCTGCCCTCATTACCCATACCCATCAGTGACGCTGTGATTCATTCCAGCTACAGGGCACAAAATGGCTCCAAACTAAGAAGTAAGTGAGGCTCAACAGGTGGAGCTGCATGTCGAATGGTAACTGGGTGTTGTTGTCACTCTTTCATACCGAAGCGTGATAAAGCCGTGTGAACCTGTCGTCCGTGCCCAAAGCCTGGCGAGCTCTTGCGGGGCACCGTCCGGTGGCCAAGACCTCGCCGTCCGCACTCTAAAGAAAGACTGACGTTGCCAAAAACCGGCTGCTACATTACATTTGGAAGAGTGAGCAACATATGATAATATATGTACGTTGTATGTGTATATATATATATACATATATGCGCGTGTACATGTCATTATACAATTTATATATATATTATATACATATATACATGCATGCATGCATGGGTGTGCCTTCGAACAGGAAGGACCTCCTGTGGACAGTCCAAGGGACACCTCCATCCGTCCTAGGAGACTCCTTCGTTCACCCATTCATCCAGCCAAAAGGCCCAGTCGCACCCACAAAAAAACATCCCAAAACAGAACGAGGCCCCGGCGTCACCTCCTCCATGATGGATTTGAACCTGGCAAATGAGACCGCGGGACTCCTAAACAACCCTCTGGGCTCAAGAACCCAGCGGTCTTTCACTTGCTAAAGGAGGAAAAACCTTTCTTACTTGTGGTTGTATTGCATGAAGTACCATCATCATTTGTAATCTTCATCACTTCAACTATGTAGCTATCAAGTTCACCATCTGAGAGGAACAAAAAACTGCTGAACTCCTGTGCATGACACTGAACCGAGCTCCAAGTCAATTGCAAAAAGTCACAAAATCTCTGAGATGGAGATCTCGAGCCAATTGGATGTCATACCAAAAGAACCTGACACTTTTGCCCTTCGGGCGCCGACAGGGTCAGTTGCGGATGGCTAGATGACCTGGCTGAAGACCGCTTTGCATGTCGCTTCGAACCCGGCCGATGGGTGAGCCAACAGGTGCCCAATCAGATCTGCTTCACTTAGCTTCATCGTCCCATCGTTTGGGAGCCCGTCGAACACAAACAGCAAAAGGGCATAAGTGCGAAGTGGCCACAGAGGGTTGCTTTTTCTTGAAGATGGTGGGTGGCCAAGGTTGATGCGAAGCCGCACTCACACACGACCAGAAAAAAGGGCTCCGGCGCTCGCTTATGATTCCTCCCATGGTGTGGACAACATGTCTCTAGGCCTTATGTCATGCGATCAGTGACTGGACCGACTGGACCTTAATGGCATGAAAAAGGCTGAAAGGCCACATGTGCGGCATGTCAGGCGGCCTCACCACGAAAATATGAGTCATCAATGTTCCCTGAGAAAGGCTTGGGTACCCGCACGTGTCTCCTGTGAGCCTGTGGAAGTAGTACGGCCGCCTCCGAATGGGATGCGGCGGGACATGATCCTTGAGTTTGTCACCTGTTGCACTCAACGTTTTCCCAATGGCCCAATAGCCTTGGACGATCTGGTAGAGGCCAACCAGGCTGGTTGGCGGATAACCACCAAGAGGGAAAGCTGGCCAACAAAAGCTACTGGGTGCTCATGCAGTTGCCTATGATTCATTCCCGGCATCATGAAAGGCCTTGTGAGGTATACGGGCATCACTCTTCCCAAGACCAATCTCCCAAGGGTCAAGTATATACATATGTATATATATATATATATACGCTTTCTGACAGCCTTTTTAATGGGAAAGTGATAGCAAAATGATTCTAAACCCTGTACCGCCCACGCATCCAATCAAGCCCAAGTGCCCTTTGTAGCCCTGCTTCTTCTTCCTCAGCACCGTGGCGTGTCAGCTGGAAGCAAATTGGGACTCGAAGGGCTCTCTAGGTCTGATTTTGAGCTGCTACATCAACCACTTCTGACAGGTAAATCTAAAAGTTTTGGCCTTCCAGGTCCGCGCTCCGGGAGTCCGGGCCAGTCAGGGGGCAGTGGGAGCTCCAACATTCCTTGCCTCAGAGGTTCCAGTGTGCATGTGCACAGACAAACAGACAGACAAACACCCTGTGGAGACCTTGTCCCGCGCACTGCACCACAGACGTCGAATGTATCCACTTGACAGGCCATGTGTAATCGCATGTTTCCTTCAGGGCAAGAACTCAGCTCTCAAGTGTTCCCTTTCCATATGCCAGTCGAAGTGCGCTCCCTTTTTCACAACTGGAAGTGAGAGAAAGAGAGAGAGAGAGAGAGGGAGCGAGAGAGAGAGAGAGAGAAAGGAGGGGGGGCCACTGGATGTGATCAAAACCTCATAGCCCAAACCAAAGCTGTTCCATGCTTATCTTAGTCTTAGTCCTTGCGCGCACCTTTCGGCTTGTAGCCCATGTATCTTCCCTTGGCCCTGAGGTCGGCACGCGAGGGTCTTTTGCCTCAGCCAGTGGCCAAACACATAGGCAACATCTGTAAAGAAATCCGTCAAAACTTTGGGCGCCTGAATCTCTTTCACACATGACTCCACGGCACCCCAACATGAACTCCCATTGCCTGGGGGCTCCAGGCCACCCATCGGTTGCACCAGTCAGCAAGTTCAGCTCTGCCTCTGCCATCCCTAGGCGGGGCAACACAGATCATCCCACAAGGAGCTCTCTGGTCTACAAGTGCTCAACTCACTCCACACCGATCGGGCCGAAAAGGTTATATAGATGAGGTTCGATGGTCAACCTGGTCAACTCGCTCCGGACCAGAAGAACTCTTCGTCCCAGGGTCAGACTTGCCCCATCCCTCTCCCTCAAGCACCCCGGCCCAAGCTCCTGCAGGGTGGGTGGTCAGTGGATGCGTCTGCAGGGTCCGCTCTTGCAAAGCTTTTTGGGTTCGCTGCCAGTCTTAGTCTTGAGGTGACCCTTTCATACCCATACACTTCTATCATCCCTTGTCCTCTCACTGAAATCAAGTACTGCGTGGCCAAGATTCCAACTCCCTGTTTTGCGATGAGGCTTTACTGCTAGCGACTTCCAAACTGTGTTGGCTAATGAGACAGAATGTTGCATTCCCCCTGCGCGCCAGCTGAAAATTGTGGAGAGCGTCGAAAATCAATGCACAACGGGCCCTGGCACTCTACAAAGACAGTAGAACTGCTTTCAATTAGTCAGAACATGCCTTCTCGGAGCGGTAGGCAGGGCCCGTGACCAAAGTCTAGAGCTCTAAGTGTCCGGGGGCACTGAGGACATGGTGTTTCTGTACAGGTCTCTGGGGAGGAACAGCTCCCGATAGGTAAAGTGGACTAGAACGAGCAATCAGCATGAGGGCAGTTACAGCCCAACACGTGTTGGCCATGTCTCAGTGACCAGGTCGGAGGAAGATTCAAGTGAAATTCCTGCGTGATCTGCTAGCTCCGTCGCGCGGTCGAAGATCGAGCTTCTCATTAGCCCATGGGCCCAGGTGGGGCCGCTAAGCAGATCACACAAAAACTATATAGTCACCTTGAAACCGTCAAGGGGTCAATGGTTGAAAGTGGACTTTCAGTACACCTACAGGTGGCTCGTGGCCCACTTGACTCCGCGGACATCCAGTTCCCTGGTTTTGGTGTCAAGGTGAGCCAAACGACGGGTCTGAACAACTTGGCGCATAATGCCCTCTACGCAAATTCTGCGCAGAAGCCAGGCGCATGGTGAGAAGGAAGGGTTCTCTGCTACCCATCACTCAGTGGGGCCCCATGAACTGGAGGAGTTTAAACCCTTCCTCTTCTGTTCACTCTAAGCCCTCGGAAGACGACCCAAAGTCTCAGGCGCCTCAGTTCACCTTAAAAGCATTAGTTCATCATCAGAGCATTGCTGGCCCTCCGCTCCACATCATCCGCCAGTCGCAGCAGAATGCGCCGGGCAAGCTGACGAGCGAAGCGCTGCGCAAAGGAAGCAGCACCTGCAGCGCAGGTGAAACACCAAATGCATGGAAATCACCTCAGAAGTCCCACAGATTCTGCATCCCACCTGGCGTTATGCTGGGCAACAAGCCCTGGGCCAATGGCTGTAAGCGCTGAAGCCTCTGCACGGTCCTTGGCTTCTGAAAACCCGCGGAGGTGCCTTGAGGGTTGAGATGAGGCGCACTGTCTGCGGTGGTCACAACGGAACAATTCAACACAAATCCCTATGTAACACGCACACTAAGCCAAATCCTTCGGGTTCATCAAATAAATTACACAGGCATAGACCCCAGATAGGAACTAATTCAAACGGAAGCACATCTTTTCCTCTTAGCAGCGGCACAGCAGCCGCACACGGCAGCACAAACCAAAACGGAATACAGGCACCCGGTCCTTGAGAAGTAAGAACCCCCATAGCTATCACTATCTGAGGAAAATCCTTTTTGACCAGCGTCTGACCCAGGTCCGCCCCCTCATCATCCGAGTTGGCATCCCTGGAGGCATCCACCAGCTGGACAATCCGCCGGATCACTAAGAGAGACTCCTTGTCCTGGACACCAGCCACCCGCTGTGGGGAGATATCAGGAATTGGAGCGCACTCAGTTGGTGAAGGTCAATTGGGGCATGTCCCACGGTTTAGCCACTTGAGCCTGTTGGGAAAGGACCGGGGGCAGGACCCGTTTCTCTCAATCGGTCTCTCGCACCCAGAAGGTGGCTGACTTGATCAGGCCAATGCGTCTCAGTGTCTTCCTCACAAAAATCACGGCGGCACTTCCAAGCAAAGCGCGAAGGCAAGTACTTGAAGCCCTTAAAGCCCTAAAAGCTTGAGGGCCGATCAACCTTTTTGGGTGGCAGCACCCCACAAAGGAAGGACGAGAAAGTGATTAGGTGTGCAAGGCCCCTTGAATTTTAGACAGGCTCACTTTGATCATAAAGAAAGCCCCCTTGGTTTTTGGGTGTTGCAGGTGCCAAACTGCGTTTAACTGGAGCGAAACCGCCAGCAAAAAATTGACCGCGGACAACACCTTCCGATTGGGGTTCCAATTGCGCACTAGCAGCAGTGACAGCAATGTCAGTGACCATTGAAATCAAAAATGTTTAGCATATTCTCCGCATTTCAGTGGTTCATTCAGCCTAATTGCCCGTCCAAATGATCATGAATTTCTGAACGGGTGAGGTTGGGTGGTGAACACAAGCTTGCAAAATTTGGTGGGCTGACCGTGGGAATCTGGGAAGCTTTTGAAAATCAAGGGGCTACACCCTCTCGCTGAACACAAGTCTCAGCTAGTCGCCCATCTTGCCGGATTCGTATGAAAGCTCAAGCGACGGCGACAGTCCTCTCTACTTAGGAGCCTGCTGCCACTGCTGCCACCCAGCAAGAAGTTCAAAGGCAGCGTCAAAGGCAGTGCCAAAGGCCCCAAGTTTCTCAGCAGCTGCAGAAGCGTGGCACGTGACAGGGCGTCAATTGCCGCCACACCCTCATCAATGAGGAGGTCTTGCAAGAAGTTGCCCTGGCTCCAACACTATGCGAGGAAACGGTTTGAGGACTTCTGAGGATACCTGAGCCTCTCCGCAATTCCTTGAAAAAACAAATAGTAAGATTGCCTCTCTGCCTATCCGTCACGACCATTCAATCGGTGGCTCGGAGTTCTTGAGGTCACTTCAAGGCTTCCCCTTTTGCAGAACCATGGAGCACTTGCTCTTTGGCCCTGGGGTTCTGTGCCATACCAAACGCCATGCCATCCGTCACCCCCTTCGTCGCCTCCGCAGAGAAGATCACCTCTGCAATCTCCCGCGACGCCGAGTCCAGCTGTGGCCGCGCGCTCGACCGCTCCGCCCCACCCTCCGCGTGGCCCGCGGCGGGCCCTGTCGTCGCGGGCGCACGGACACCGCCGGCGGCGGCGGACTCGGAGCGGCTCCCCTGCGACGTTGCAGAAGGGAGGTGGGGCTTTGGAAGCGGTGAAAAGAGATGAACATGCTGTCTGTGTGGGGTGAGAAACTCCGTCCTTTCATCGAAGTGGTTGCTTCAGCCAATGATGAAACAGACCCTCCTGTCAGCATGGAACATCATGGAACCAAGCCCGCCAAGCCAAGCACCAATCCAACCGTCCCTATCCCGGTGAATAAGCCCCAACTTCTGAGCATGAAGTGCCCACATCTCCCAGTCATTCCACGGTTCAATTCGCACCTGGAGCCTGAAAGCGTCATCCCAATGGATAAATGCGTCATTCCTATCTATTGGATCATCCGGACTCCTCTCTTCAAAAGAAACCAAGAAACCACTTCTGCATCTTCCAACTGCCTCTTTTGATTGACTCTTCTCGCTCGCCTCAGCAGAACCTCCTCCGCTGAGTAAGAACCCCAGGGGGGTAACATACATACCTCGTTTGCGGAGGTTAGTAAGTATCTAGCAGGCAACCCC